GGGATGGGAGTGTCAGAGACAGTGCGATTGGCACAGGACAGAGCGGAGTTTAGGGCTGTTGTACATAGGGTCGCTATGAGTCACAAGCGACTCGACGGCACATAACAACAACAACAATTGTGTTTTAAAAGAAAAATGCAGAGATGCAATAGAACAAATGTCATCTCCTTAAACTACTGTATAAAAAGTTTCATTTACTTTCTAATTAAAAAGGAGAAACTCCAGCTGAGAAACATTTGGTATTATAATCCCCTAAGAAACGGAATCGGCCTATGTATTGTGGAAAAATTGTTGTTAGTCGGAGCAAAGGTTGCCACCTATGTCTCTACAGAATCAAAACTGCTGTGGGTGGCCTCCAGAAATGAGAAACCCCGAGATGGGTCAGAAGGGGCCACACCTTACCAGGAACGAGGCAGCAGGGTGGCAAATGGTACCAACTGTTGAGCATGTACTTTCTTGTTGGGAGATTTCATTGGCTTTGTAACATTCTAAGTAATAATCTAAATATTTTAAAGAATGTGGTTTTCATAAAAATATTAGTAATCACTCTAGGTCATTCTGATATTCTTCCCTGTTAGTTCCTTAAAGCAAGAACGAGGTTTAATGAAAAATTCCTATGAAAACAGCTGCGTTAATTAGAGAGTTGTCATTTCCTCTCACCAGCATAGAAATACCCAGAATTTGAGTTAAAGTAAGGAAGGCAATAAATTTCTAACTGCTTATGCTAATAATATTAATAAAAATAGGAAGCGTATCTCTTTGAATTGGAACTTACTGTACAATTATATCGATAGTATTACTAGCCTTAAAATTAAAAAATTGTTCAAAATTATTTGTTATGCAATTGTTTCAAACTCTTTTAACGACTAAAATCTAGAGGAGGAAGAAAAAAAAAACAAACCTAAAAAATAGCCAAAACTGTAAAGCAGCTATTGGTGCCAATTTTGGGCCGGTGTCAAAAAATATTTCTACTTATAAACAATGCCACCCAGAGGTAATAAAGAAAGTCAAAGTTGCTTTCACTGTAAAAAGTTGGGCCGCTTCAGTAAACGGTGTCACAGATGAGAGCCACACATAAGCAAAGGAGTAGAAAGGAAGCTCCCACTCACTTGCTTTAAGTGTGTATCTAATGGGCACTTGGCCAAGGGCGGCCCACATCAGGTCCTCAAGGCTAACAGACCCCAGCCTCCAGCTGGAAACAAAGAACGCTCCAACGATTCAGATCCTCCCAGAAGAACCATGGGTGAGCATTATATCTGTCTTCTGCTGGACACAGGAGCCTACATTGGGCCTTAAAAGCCTTCTCAGGTTCCATTTCTTCCTGCTATTCCTTAGTTGTTAAAATTGACGGAAAACCTCATAAGCAGTTCTTTACTTCAAATCTACCTTGCATGTGGCCTTCCTAGTAGTCAAACAATCCAATAATAAATGGAAGCTGGCCCTGAACACAGTTGTACCTCTACATCTTGTGGTTCCTAGCCTTTACACTATAAAAACAAAGTGCCAGCCAATGAAACTTTTAAGAATTATCTTCCCTCTGTAACTTAATTTGTGTCATTGTTAGAATCTCTAATTAGAATATTATTGCTCTTCGTTGTTGACTCGTGTACTTTTAACTTGTTAAATTTATGTCTTCTAGGCTGCAACAGTTCCAAGATGCATCTCCAGAAATACAGAGCTGAATCCCTAAAAGCAATTAATAACAGCAAGCACTAAATTCCAAAGTCAGTGTCAGCGAAAGTACATGTGTTTCCTTTTGCCAAAGGGGCCCTCTAGGATAGTAAGAGAAGATTTTCACCCTGAAACCTACAGCGCCCCTTTATAGCAGAAGTAGCTAAGAGAATCCGTCGACCCCTTTTCCCTTATGTATCAGGGTGAAATCTCTCTCAGAAAGAAGCAGCGGGGAATGGCAAAATAAAAACATGCTAACAAAAAATTAATCAAAATTAGCTTTAACTATTACTATGGCAATGGAACAAAACAGGTCTGCAAGAATTATTCAACATAGACACTTTAAAAAGTTTAGCCTCTCTTGTTAACTGTCCTAATGTTAGTTAATATCAAAAAGGTTCAGTCTACTCTCTGATTGCCCGAAAATCACTCACGTGGGCCTATGATTCGGCCCAGTATAACTCCAGGGGGGAATGAAGGGGCAGCAGAAACCCCATTTTTTTATAAACCCCCATTAGCGCTGGAGGCAGAAGTGGGCCATAAAAATTCTTGGCTTAGGGCAAACACGAGTGCCCCGGGTAAAACCCAGTCTGTCCTTGAAAAAGTAAGGAATTAACTAGTGTCTACGTGACACAAAAAGAGTAAAGGCGGGCAAAGTAACCAGCCCATCAAAAGCCGACCAAATGACTGACCCCCTGGCCCACCAATCTCTTTGCCTTAGCAGGGGCACCCAAGAAAAAGCTATCAAAGCAAGTGGGAGGGAAAACTCGAGGCTTTTTCCCTTCACCACCTTTCTGAGGAAGGTGAAAGAGCCTCCACGCGTGGAAAAATTAAACAATAAACGCTCTTGAAATTTCATACGTGTTTCTGGATTTCTTTGAGGGGCATTTCATGGGCACAACACCTGCTTTACTCCAAACACAACAGGCCTGGACTTCAGCGCCAGCGATCCCAGGCCTCGGAGTTTGGCATCGCGCATGCCAATCTTCCGGAAACCGAGTGATGATTGGCGGAAGACGGGTCAGAAGGGCGGGCAGAGCTGGAGTCCGACCCACTGCGAATTGGGAGCTGACTTCCTGTGGCGGCTGCCGCGACTGGTCGACCGCGAACCCGGAAGGAACTTCCAATGGTTGCGCTCCAACGCTTGGGTGGTTTAGCAACACGCGTTGCCTTCGGGTTCCCGGACTGTAGGCTAGGTAAGATCCATGTAGGCCCTCCCGGGGAGAGGGAGCCGGATCCTGGCTGAAGACAGGCACTGCTTTCATCCGGGGTGATCACTTGAGTAGGAGCCTGGACCATGGCCACCCGTGGGGCCATTGCAGCACTGCTCTTGTCTGCAGTCGCTCTCTACTGGCTGTCCCCGAGCGCAGGTATACTGGACCCCAAGGTCGTTTCTCCCATGCAGGAGGGAGGAGGGAGGTCTGTGTCCATTTCCTACTCTAGAGACACTTGCAATGTCGCTGCCTGCACGCGAGGGCCAGGAATCAGCGGGGATGCGCGCCGCCGAGGTTCTCAGAGCGAGTCCTGAGGCGTGCGACGCCGTGAAGAGCAGGCTTCGGACTGCGAGGTGGAAGCACCGCTGGAGGAAAGCCAGGCGCCTCCCGGGTTTGCTCCACCGGGTGTGTTCACCTGCTTGCCACGCAGTCTTGCAAAGACAGTGGATAGTCAGGGAGCACGGAGGCCGGGGCCAGCTGCCGGGCATTCCTGGAATGGTGCAGCCCAGGCGAAGCTGGGGGAGGCGGCGCCTCAGCCTGTCACCCGAGCAGAGGCGGGGACGACCGTGCGTGAGTGGCACCGGAGGGCGGGGAAGGGTCGCGGGCGGTCGCGGGTGCTAAGCGGGGCACGCGGCGAGCGAGTGGTGTATGTGGGAGGCGCAGGGTGCTCGGTTGGGGCAAAAGAAGGGTGTGCGCGCTCCTGGGGACCTGAAGCTTTAATCGTCGGTGCCCGTGCGGAGAGCGGGGCTCGCTCTAGTCTGGTCGCTGGAGGCTTATGGTCAGAGCCACTTTCCGCGTTAGTGATCTGGCCTCTGCTGCAGCTGCTGGGGTACGCCAGACTCGGGTGGCTTTGCGCGCGCAGTCCGAGGGCCTGGTCGCTGAGTCCTAGCGGGGCTCCGTCTCCTTACTGTGGATTTGCATGTGAATGGGGGAGCGAAGCGCTGCTTGGCACCCTCTTTTAAACTTTGTTTCCACTGGCAGAGCAGAGTGTGGGGTAGCTGCCTGTAGGACAGGATCCGGTGAGTCTAACTGGAGAAATGTGAAGCGCGGCAGGGTGCGCGTTCAACAGCTCTTAGCGCAGTGGATTTGGAGCTGCCCTCACTTTCCCCGGCTGCCCAGCAAAGGGTCTGTGTTTTGCTTGGGTTTGCCTTTCCCTGTCCTTACCGGGCTCGCAGTCCCTTGCATTGCGCCTGTCTCAGCTAGGGATGATGATCGCCAACACTCGGGGCTTCCTTTGGTCTGACCTGGAGACTCGAGCCCTGCTGGGCATCTGGGGCGAAGCGGGCGTGCAGTCTGCGTTGGAAGGGAACTTCCGGAACAGCCATGTGTACCGGGACGTGGCGTGCCGACTTGCCCAGGTGGGATTCGACCGGACCCCAGAACAGTGCCGCATCCGCATCAAGGGCTTGAAGCGCCAGTACTACCAGGCGAAGGACGGGCTCCCCAAGGGCGGGCCTGCGCGAAAGTCCTGTAAGTTCTTCGATGAGATGGACCGGATCTTGGGTGCTCGAACCACCACTGGGGGCCCCTCATCCCTAGGGGGAGGCCCTACACCGGGAGATGCAGCTGATCGAGACTCAGCAGCTGAGAAGGACTTGACCGGCGAGGGCTCTTCCTTTGCAGAGCGTCCAGTCAAGGTGGAGTGTTCCCCCTTCGCCATTCCCGAGCCGCCTGATGATGGTGAGTGCAGCCCTGGACCAAACGCGCAGGGGTGTAGGTGTGTGAGTCCAAGACAGTTATCTTAAAAGATCTCTGTGACCTAGAGAATTAAATAAGCACCTCTTGAGACATTCCTGACCTTGGCTGTAAGTCCCCGGACTCAGATGTTTTTCAAATGGGATGAATTATGTAGAAAGAATTTAGGGATGAACTACACAAGCAGATTTTTATTATTTAGGACCCCATACCTGTCCCCATCACTTCCTGTTTCCCTCTACCCTATGAATATTATATATTTTATGCAGCTAAATATTTTCATTTTTTTCTTAACTAATTTCTTACAACAGGGATTGGAGGAGTAGAGATCGTTCTTACCTACCTTTGAGTAGAAGATAGAGAAAATAAATGACTTACTCTATATTCCACAGCCAGTAGTGGCTGAAATGGTGAGATGTACTCTCATGCAATTGTAGAGAGAAAAGTTTTATCGTCACACTTACTAGAAGGATTTCACCTTATATATGCATTGAATATAGGTGCTAGGGAGTTTTTGCTTATAGGGTTTTTTTTGTATGCTAGTTCCAAATAGGACCTAGTGGCAGCTGTACTGCCCTCCCAAAAGTTCAAGTCCACCAGCTGCTTCATGGGAGAAAGTTGGACAGTCTCCTCCCATGTCATTTGCTGCCTCTAAAAACCCACTGGAGGATCAGCTGGGAGTCAGTTCCAACTCGACTCTACACACCACTAGTCCAAGTGAGAGTGCTCTCGTGGCCTAGTCCCTAGTGAGTTGTGATGCTGACCCAAAGGCTGGTCATCTCCAGGGATTGAAATTTACCAGATGGTCCCAGTGGATGGTCGCTAGGAGTGGAACCCACTCAGAGTTTGAGTTTGAGCTCTAAAATGCATTGCGGGTTTCTCTCCACTGGTGTCTACAACTCTCTTGATTATGCTAATAAGCTGAGAGGTGCAGAGCATCACTTTATTTTATAGATCTTTTGTTGAGGGTGGGGTTCAAGGTGGTGATCTAGCTTTTCTGCCCTGAGGTGTGTTTTTTTGGGGAGGGGTGAGGTGAGTGCGTAGCTAAAAGGTATCTTAAGTAGCTTAAAGATTTCCATGACAGGCTAAATTTGTTGTAAATTCACATCAGTTTATAGGTTTTTTGACACAGAGACGCAGTGATGACAACACAGAAAGCTATAGCTGACCAGTAATTCTAGAAAACAGCACAGCTTGATGAATCCCTTTAATTCTCCAGTCTTCCTCAGCCAGACTTTGAAACAAAGCCCAGACAAACTTGACCTGTTTTTCCAGAATTCCCGAGTAGTGTAAAGTCAAAGTTACTTAGTAGGATAAATTTTTCAGTTGCCTTTTATCAATCCTTTTATATCCTTTAGAACATTGATATTTGTATTTAAATACTTCTGTGGATAAGTCCAAATGGTACATATCAGCAAGCCAGCTGAAACTTGTGATTTACTAAGTGGTGGTGTTATTATTAGGAGCCTTGGAATGAATTTTGGCTTACAGCAAAACCATGCAAGAGAGTAGTAGAGTTAGATTGCCCCATAAGATTTCCTCAGCTCTTATCTTTATAGGACATTGTCAGGCCATTTTCCAAAGAGTGGGTTCCAACTGCCAACCTTTCTGTTAGCAGCTGAGCACTTAACTCTTGCCCACCAGGGCTCTTTTTGGCAAATACAGGGAAACAGAAACGGATCTTATTTGACTCTTCCATTAATGGAAGATTTTATCTCAGGTAAATGGAACAGAATGGTAGTGAATAGTTCTGATTTATACTTGCATTTATACAATTCCAGTTAACAAGTAAAAATGTACTTCTTGTCAGTGATTCTTGTCCCTCCCTCCCAAGTGATTCTATAGAGCATTTGATTTTATTTCTTTTGTTGGTAGGTTTGGTTTGGCTTGTTTTCTTGAGAACTATTTCTTTTGCCTTTAAATGTTAGCCTTTCGGTAAAATAGTTTCTTCTGGTTTAGGGTGACAGTTACTAACTGTAGCATCTTTACATGTCTTCCTTTCTGGGTCTTAGTTTCTTCTAGAAAAGAAAGAAAAAGTGGCTACTGATGGGAAGCCTAGATTAAGATTCCTTTAATTCAGCAAAATTGATGGATGTTTTATTCTGTGTAAGGCACTGTTAGTGACACTTGAGGGGCAAACATAGCAGACACGTGAACCCCGCCTCCAAGCCTTATTCTGGGTTGAACTCGCCTTCAATTCTTATTCTGGGGTAGGCATCCCATTCTGTGTTCTTACTTTACAGTCAGTAGTTGCTGAAATGGTGAGATGTACTCTCATGTAATCGTAAAGGAGAAAACTTTTATCATAGTACTTATAGAAGGATTTCACCTTGTATGGTTAGAGAATAGGTTCTAGGGAGTTTTTGCTTATAGGTGTGTTTTTTGTTTTGTTTTGTTTTCTTATGCTAGTTCCAATTAGTGGCCTAGTGGTAAGCCACCAATTAAGATATGTAATGTTATATAGCCACCAATTCAGATAGGAAAACTCCATCTTTTATGTCCATTTCGTCCCCTTCACATAAATTTCTGTGTGTCTGAATGTCTCAGAACTCCGTATTTAGTAACTTACCTTTAGTAGCTGTATTTAAGTCATAAAAGGCTACAGTCAGTTATGCTTTTAAAAGAATTTAAAATGTGACCTGTAATTAAAAGGCAGTCTTCATACATAAATACTCAAATATCCAGGTTCTGGAGGAAACTTGTTCTTAAGGATTCCTAGGCCTGTTACTTGCTTGTGATGTGACAGCCAATAGAATGGGGACACTGATAAAATTTCAATAAAATGTTATAAAATAATAGCAGAGAAAAACATAAATGTTGCATACTGTGGGCTAATCAGGCTGCTATGAAAGTGATAACATACTTTCGGCTTTAAAATGCAGTTGTGCTATTTGAGAAAAAGTAATAGTTTAAAACAAGATTCCCCCCCCCTTTTTTTTTCTTTCTGGATGTTATAAAGATTACTATGTGACTGTAATGGCAAATTTCACACAATTAGAATACATATTTTTGGTTTGTGGTTAATGGGATGTTAAAATTGCATTTACATTTTTTTGAATGATTAGCAGCTGTAGAGATTTATCAGCCCTAGTTGTGCATATATTTATTATTTAAGTCCCTTGCTATCCTACCATTCTAATAAAGATGATGTTAAAGTAAAGAAAAATGACAATTTTGTGCACTTGTCGTTATTTGAGTAACAACAAAAATCATTATTTGCTTTAAAAATTGTAGGCTTTAAGCATATCGGTGCTCAGACCAGCACATCTCATCTTTCTCAATCAAAAAGATCAAAAAAGCACCACACCAGTATACCTCTGGACAAGATGATGGGGAAACTTTTACAGCAGAGTGTCGATGCAGAAGAGAAGTTTTTCAGATACGAAGAGCAGAGGCTGAAGATGGAGGACAAGCACCGGGAAGCGGAGCGGGCCAGAGAGCTCCAGATGCTGCAGATGTTGGGGCAAGTGTTGGCTGGCATTTCCTCAGCTGTCTCACAGAGGGCCCAGTTCAGGCCGCCCAGCCCGCCTCAGCTGACACACCAACGGGCGTTTGGAGATGACATTAGTTTTAATGCTATGACAGCAGCTCTTTCTCCTTCCCTAGGTATTGAATTTTGGCACGTAGTTTCGTCTTGTGTCCAATCTTTTTCCTAATATATGGGGTGGGGTTTTTTTCTGGCTATAAAGTGAGGCAGAATACAAAAGAAAAGAATGTTAAATATTAGTTTGTGGTTTTAGAAACCCTTTGCCACAGAGGCAGTCCCAACTCAGCTCCTCTAGAGGAGGGTAGCACCACCTCCCCCTAGTGTTTTCACAGCTGTGATCTTTAGAAGCCAACAGCCTGTTGTCCCGGAGAGCAGCTGGTGAGTTCAAACTGCTGAGCTTGCGGTCAGCGACTGAGTGTTTAACCACTGAACCACCAGGGTTCCTTTTGGTTCATAGTACTTGACCTTTTAAATATGATAATGAAATATTTCATGACTTGTCTGTATTGGTTACTTTTTTTAAAAAAAAAAGACAACATCTGAACTTTAAAATGTAAGCAAGATGTGAATCTCAAGTAATTGGAGGAAGGAAATTTCTTAAAAAATGTGCTGAGTTCCTTTTCTTAGTGTGGCGATAGTTTATCAAGAATTACCATCAATTTAATAATAATACTCATCAGGTATATTTGGTATAAAATGTTTCTTTTTTAAATAATCATAAATTGAGCTCTAGCTAAACAGTTTTATTTCTAAATTATTGTATTAGCTGCACTTTTTATTTTATATGATGCAAGTATGATTAAATTTGAAGCATGAGTGTGTTTAAAGATGCTTAAACTAAATCCATGCATTTGTATAAGAGATTCTCCACTGGGGCTGATTTTGCCCTTTAAAGAACACTTGGCCTGGCTGGGGACATTTTAAGTTATGACACTTTAAATGGGATGTGTGTGCGACTGGCATCACACCAGTAGGTAGAGCCAGGAACCCAGCTAAGTATCCTGCATAGAACCGGATGGAACATAGAATGGGGTGTAGAACAGCCCCTAGCCCTCAACAAAGAAGAAATTCTGATCAGGAGCTAGAGATGTTTTTATAAAGATGAGTGTCTTATTTAACCTGCTTGGGGGGATTATCATGATGGGGTTCATAGTACTTCTCGTTTTGTCACTTCATGAAACTCCTATGCCTCTCCCTCATTTTCATTCCTAGTGGTTGGACATTGTACAGTAAGCAAAACCAGGCAGCCTACCAGTTGCCATTGAGTTGACTCTGATTCATGGTAGCCCTGTGTTGGTCGGAATCGAATGGTGCTTCGTGGGGTTTTTAGTGTCTGAGCTTTCAGAAGGATGTTTCCAGGCCTTTCACCTAGGACACTTTGGGATGCATTTGAACTGACACCTTTTGGTGGGCAGCCAAGCATGGAGACCATTTATACCATCAGAGACTTTCTAAATTGTAAGGGCTTCCTAAAGTCACCAGGGAGCTCTGGTGGCTTAGTGGTAAGAAGCTGCACTGCAGTTTCAAAGGCACATGGTTTGCTCTGAGGGAGAAGGATGGGAAGTCTCCTTCCATGTAATTTACTGCCCCGGAAAATCCACCAGAGGGTCCGTTCCAACTTGATGGTAAACAACAACAAAGTCACTAGGGAGCTTTTCTGACTTAACGGTAAGGAGTTAAACAGCCAACCCAAAGGCACGCAGGTCATATAGACCAGCTGCTTCCTTCATGTCAGAAAGCTGGGCAGTCTCCACTCGTGTGATTTACTGCTGCTAAAAACCGGCTGGAGGTCAGCTATGGAACAGTTCTGACTCAACATAACAACGAAGTCACTAGTCATATTTTATAACTTATGTAAAAATGCAGCAGAGAAATAGGTTCATTTTTATTGTGACTCTTACAATTGTCTTGGCTTAAATAAAGAGATATATATATTTGTAAAAACCCTAGAGAAAAGATTTTTACAAATCTTTTATGTTTATTTAAAAAATGGTTTTCTTTTGCAGAGTTTTTGTTAATTACCTTATTTTTTATTTTTTAATTGTAGAAGCTTTAGGAAGGTACTTCTCAGCCCTGTAACTAATGCAAGGTTCATTTCCAACTTGAATTCAAGTTTAAGGGCAAAGCGCTAAGTTCCTGTGTACTGGGGAGGAAAAGAAAACCATAATTTTATGCATTTACTCAGAATTTTCTAGCTTTTAAATTCTTATCTTTGGAAAGAAAGAATACGGAAATTAAATGTATAGAGTATTTTATATATCTTTTTATTAAGTAACATGCAATAAAAAATCATTTTAATTTTGTTAGGCTGCTTCTCTAAGGCAAATGTTTAAGTTTGTAAACATTAAGAAAGATTCACATGACATTATTCAAATTATAATACTGTTAATAAAGCAGTGTATTAGCTTAATAACTACTTCTTGAAGAATTAATAAAATTCTAGTTTGGAAAGGATAGAATGTAACTTCTTTAGGATATGTATCTATAAGAAAGAAATAAAACTGGTCTTAGAAATAATTCATACGTTGCTGAGGATTTAGTATTTATTAAATAGGAGTGATACATAAACACAAAACATAACGAAGACAGAACAACCTTTGAGTGACTGGTAAGTTTGGATTCTGTATTTACAGTTCCTAAACTTTCAAAAACAACTTATTTCTTGTTCTTAGGAATTTAAAGGCATGAATATTCTTTAATCCTGGGGTTTCCCCCCCTCTATTGATCAGTCATATTGGTGTTATACTGGCTATATTAAGATTTGAGCAAATACACGTTAAGCATTTTCATAACAGCATAGATTCTTCATCAGCATTCAGTGATACTGGAGTTAAATCTAATTATAGCAATGCTGATTCCTTTCATGCAGCTCATCAAAGGCAGCGCCAGGGAAGGAACATTTCACAATTATACTGTTCAGAAAATGGTGGTGCCCATTGCGTTTAAAATATGTGTAGTAAAAATATATTGTGTGATTTGGGGGTTTAGGGTGTGGGGCAAGAAGGAATATAGAAAGCTGAAAGAATTGAGAGAGGAAGAAAGGCTGAGAGCAGGCTTGCTTTGTTCATGCAGTGTCACACTGCCTTGTCTCTGTGGTCCAGCTCCAGATCAGATGGGAAGTAGTTCTGCAGATGAAAGCTGTTTACTTATTTCACTGGGAGCAGAATGTCGGGTATAATCAAAGAGCATGGAGCAGAGGGATTAGCCAGCTGTATTTGTCGCTGAGCAAGCCTCATCAAGCTTTTTCTTGGCCGAAGGTTTACCAGAGTGATTCTGTTTTGCGTTTTAATTCTGGGTTGTTTTGGAAGGAGGCGAAGTGTTTGCCTTAACCATAATGAATATATTTTCCTTCTGGGGGCTAAGTATGTGCTGTATATGCTAATTTACATCTACTCACTAAAGGAAGTTATTGGAATCCTTGAATAAAAAGAAGGGCTTTTTAAAAAAAAAAGATAAATTTTAAAGAGTTCTATTAAAGATAAAAGGAGCTCTGGTGGATTAGTGGTAAGGAATTAGCTGCCAACCCAAAGGCAGGCAGTTCAGGTCCACCAGCTCCTCTTGGGAGGAGGCTACACAATCTCCTCCTGTGAGATTTACAGTCCCTGAAAACCTGCTGAGGGGTCAGCTGTAAGTCTCTTCAGACTCTGATCTATAACCACAGCAACATCATTAAAAACACTGGTTCTGGTGGCATAATCTGTAGTGGGTTATGCTGCTAATTCAATGCCTTGAGCCTCCAGTGGTTCCGATCCACCAGCGCCTCCACAGGAGGTGGGCTGTCTCCTCCCAAGCAGTTTACAGGCTCAGAAACCCAGTGGAGGGTCTCTGAGTGTTGTGAGTTGACATCTACTTAACAGCCGTGAGTTGAAGTTTTATTAAAGCTGAAACATTCACCTGCCTTGATCTTCATTTGAACTTTGCATCCATCTCTGACTTTTCTTAGCTGATGAGATAATTGGAAGGTTAAAAATATCTATTACCTGTTTCAAGCAATGACTTTTTTAAAATATTGTCAGTGACAGGATAATATCTATACGCATACAAGGAAGTCCAGTGAATACCACTATCATTCAAATATATGCACCAATAACCAGAGCCAAGGAAGAGGAGATAGAAGATTTTTACCAACTTTTACAATCGGAGATTGATCGAGCATGCAACCAAGATGCACTGATAATA